TCGCAGATATTGGAAACCTCTACCAAAGATAGAATTTTATAGTGTGACATACTAAAAAAGTTCAACTGACGCACAATTTTTACGTACGCTAAAAATAGTAAATACCAATTTATGCCAGCTGGATTTAAAAATACATCACATAGTTGAAAGATAACCAACATAAGGTTAAAGCTTGGTGACTTTCCAGTACCGTAATAAACATGTAGCATTTGGCGCCTACCTTAATTACTATCAGTGTATGCCAATATTTCTGGCGCAAAAAGTACGTCCAAAGAGAGAAAAAAAAATGTTTATGAACGCAGCTCCTAAAAGTGGCTACAGACACAACTGCAAGCATGTCCAGCATGCTTGTTCAATCTGTTTGGACAAGCGTGCTTGAATGTCTGTAGAGAACTGTAGTACAAGCTTTGTAATTGTACAAGCAGCTTGAAGATTGAATTGATTTTAATTATGCATGCTTGAATTAGGCGGGCTTCTGCAAGCAAAACGATGCGTGTCTACCCAAGATTTTCAAGCTTGCACAAGTTGGCCTCCGTTGATGATCATATCCCGTTTTTGAATGCCAGGTGATACAAGAGACAAAAGCTTTAAATATGTCTCTTCATCCATTCTAACATAATTGTGTTAGTCAGGCGAATATATGGGGTTGTCCAGAACGGACGCAGCAGAGTAAACGCATATTAAAACAAGAAACATTGATATTCAAATCAAGTTGGGTACTTTATTTTGAAGGTTCATTTATACCATTTATGTATGAAAAATAATATCGCTCAAATGTTCACCACGACTGGATTTACAGACGTCCACGCGATGGTCGAAATTTTCAATGACATTTTGCAACATGGTCGGTTCTATGGCATTTATCTCGGCAATGATGTTGTTTTTGAGTTCTTGGAGGGTGGCTGGTTCGTTGTCGTAGACTTTGCTTTTAAAATATCCCCATAAAAAGAAGTCCAAGGGAGTCAAATCGCACGATCTTGGTGGCCATGGCACATTTCCTCTGTGCGAAATCACGCGATCACCGAAGAAGGACTACAATCGATGGATATTGACGTTGGTTGTGTGGCATGTTGCACCGTCTTGTTGGAAATAAACATCGTCCATATCCATTCCTTCAAGTTACGGCAAAAAATAGTCCTCTACCATCACTCAGAATTGACGGTAACGGCGTCCCCGGCCGCATTTTCGAAAAAGTAAGGTCCGATGATGCCTTTTGACCACAATGCACACCACACAGTCACTTTTTGAGGATGCATCGGCTGCTCTTGTTACTCACGGGGATTTTCGTTCGCCCAGATTCGGCAGTTTTGCTTGTTTACCGTCCCATTCAAAGTGAAATGCGCTTCGTCGCTGAACATGATTTTTGATAAAAAATTGGCATCAATTTGGCGGTGTTCAAGGAGCCAATCTGAGAACGTTCGGCGCGAAAAATGGTCGGCCCGACGCAGCTCTTGCGTCAATTGCATCTTGTAGGCGTGTACATTCAAATCCTTGTGGAGAATGCGGAGCAAACTGGTTCTCGAAATGCCCAATTCTTGGGATCGACGCGTTGTTGATTGTTTCGGATCGTCTCTCACACTCTCCTTCACAACAGCAATATTTTCCGGTGTGCGAACGCTCCTTGGGCGGCCAGAGCCTGGCAGATTTGCCACAGAACCTGTTGCCTCGAATTTACGCACCAGACGACCGATGGTTGTTTCGTTTGGGCGGTTGTTGCGACCGAAATGTTCACGAAGCGCGCGAAACGTGTTTTTTATTTTTGCACCATTTTTGTAGTGCTCTTGAATAACTTTAATGCGGTCTTCAATCGAATACGACTCCATAGCGATCAATGGTAAACATTCAACTAACAAAATGACATGTCGGTGACAGAAAACAAAGATGGCGTCTATGTCAAATTGACGTTTACTTTCCTGCGTCCCTATTGGACAACCCTTTATTTTCGGCTTACTTAGTAAGTTAATGTGAGAATAGGTTTAAGACGACTTCTCACCAACATGCATGATGTTCAAAATTTCTACTCCACTGACATGATATCCCATGTATTATAACCTGGTTTTGGCGGAACATAAGTTATCTGAAAATACTACATACAATTTTTAATATCAAACTACGTTAACTACACCTTGTTTCTTTAATTTGGATGGAATGGGTTTCTTATACGAGCAAAATCAATCCAGATTTTCTCCGAAAAGGAATGGTCTAAAAAAATGCTCAAACGGGATATGAAAAATGTCGAGTACCTTCGAAAATATATTTGTTGTTTTCTTTTTGTACCAGTCGGAGTATTCCCATTTCTATGCCACTGGTATAGATTGAGCCACGAAAATGTTTGTATGCATTGACTATGCCGTTCATATCATGCCAAAAAAGTCCTAGATAAATATTTTTTTTCGATTCCGTAAATAAAACCGTGTACCAACGTATTGTATCTGACTATTCCCCGCGTCTCAATTTCTACCAATCACAAATGCGCAATTTTAAATTACAAATGGTTTCTTGATGGCAAAATTGAGCATCTATCAGCAGTTTTTTCAAGCTTTCCCGCGGCAAATCTACAGCTGTTGTCACCAAAAATTACAATACCTTTGATAACAAGTAATTATGGTCTCGTAGGACACCAGTAATATTTTACTCATGAAATAGTCTTGTCAAATTCCATTCGGGCATCTAATCTTTTCCTGTGAAAAAAATCGAAAAAAAACAATGCAAAGTAATAGTTTTCCAACAAAAAACATTCGTTCAGGTGCAAAAATCTTCGTCTTAGACTCGGATTTTTGGTGCCACCAGCACTCATGCGTCTTGTTAAAACGTTAGTTAGTAACGTGTTTTTTAAAATATAATAATAATAATAATAATAATAATCGTCTTTATTTAAACCGTACTTCATACAGAAAAACAAGAGTTGCATATGGTGGCGAAGTTTAGCAACATGCTACTCTTACACTTAACCACCCATGCAAAAAAACAAGTTGTTAAGTAGCAGATATCAAACAAAATATACATATATACATACACATGTACATACATACATACATATACACACATCACATACGTACATGTTGCACCAAGGTTTGCTACATGTACACAAGGGAAATGAATCATTTAACAATATATCTATAGCAATCTAATTAAGACTATGGATCCAAGTAAATATAAGATTTGACAGCTTTCTTGAAGCAATTTAAGGACATGGTTTTGAATTCAGGACTCAAGGCATTATATAACACTGAAGCCCTGTACGTGAAAGAACGCTGGAATAAAGTAGTGGAGTGAATAGGTGTAGTTATCAAATCTGGAAATCTAATAAGTCTATGATGAATATTATGCCTAAAGATCAGCTTTTCTCTTAAGTATATAGGTTTTGACATAAGGATTAGTTTATGAATAAAAACAAGGTAATGATATTTGACAATATTTTTTGTTATCATCCAGTTTAATTCAATAAGACTACCAGAAACATGGTCAAAGCGCCTTAAACCGCAGATGAACCTAGCACAATTGTTTTGCACAATTTGAATCCGATTTCTAGTAACAACATTGAGACACGGATAATATAAAATATCACAGTAGTTGAAAATCGGCATAACCAAAGATGAACACAGTTTTTCCTTAGCTTATAATTGAAAATTGCTTTATTGGCATATAGTGATCTCAGTCTCAAGTAGGTTTTCTTCAAAAGATTTTTAACATGACTGGTGAATCTAAGTTTGAAATCGATTATCACGCCAAGAATTTTAACCTCGTCAACGGGGTACAGTCGTTGAGATCCAATTTTAATAGTTAATCGACTTTTAATTTCTTCCCTCCTACGATCCGAACAAAAAAATAACAGGCTGGATTTACCAGGATTTATTGACAGGTTGTGGTTATTCGAGAAGTCATACACTTTTTGAATATCATGGTTTATTGATGTTTGTGCCATTTCCATATCATCAGTATCAAAATAATGGACCAGTTGAGTATCATCCGCAAAAGACTGGAGTTCACAAAAACTCACAGCCTTAGGCAGATCAGCAATATATATCAAAAACAACAAGGGACCCAAAACAGACCCCTGTTGTATTCCAGACGAGATTTCTAGAAAACTAGATTTATTGTTTTCAATTGATACACACTGCGATCGATTTGATATATAATTTCGAAAAAAGTTCAATGCAATTGGATCTATGCCATAATACTTCAACTTTGCTATTAACAACTCATGATTTATTTTGTCAAATGCCTTGGAATAGTCGATTGACATCACTGCTACGCCCATTTTTTTATCAAGTGCTCTAATAATATTATCCACTAAGTTTAAGAGGGAAGTAGTAGTACTGAAAGATTTCCTAAAAGCAGACTGATCAGATGGGATGATATGTTCCTCTGCATAATGCATTAGTTGTATGTGGGCTGCCTTTTCAACTACCTTCGATAAACAAGGCAATAGGCTTATAGGCCTTAGATCAGCAAACTCATCTGGATTTGATTTTTTTGGAACTGGTACCACAATTGCTCGCTTCCACGTTTCAGGGAAATAACCTCTTTCAAGGCAACTATTAACATATCCAACCTAATGTGTCTCAACTAACCAGTAATTAAAAGACTACTTTAAAACGGTTAGTGCCTCATCTATATGAGCAAATATGTACATCCAGTTGGTTACAGCGCCATCTATGAGACACTAACCTTTTCAAAAAGTAGACTTTTAATTATTTCGGATCTGACGAACATAGCTGTGAAAAAATCTCACACATGACGCCCCGGTCCCTGTTTCATCCCAGATAATTTATTGGACGCTGAAATACAGCATTAGTTCAGACTTCAGGTCAAATAAGTTATTCAACGATATAACTTATCTCGGTGAAAGGACATTTTAGGAATTATTTTTATAAGAACCTTTCATACGACTATTTCTATTCATAATTAGTTCAAAAATAAATGATATTTTTTTAAATAAATACTGAAAACGTACGAATGCCTTATGTTAAAACGAAAGAGTAAATACTAACTCTAACCTACTAACGTCAAGTTGACCCTAAAGTTCCTAGTAGGTGAGTTGACGAAGTCCACTCGACAGCGAAAAACCCCTTGGTCTTGCTCTGTTACCCTTTCGATTCTGAGTCTGGCCTTCGACGGTTCGTCTTCTGTTATGAAATGGGTTCTGGTACCCAGATTATCGGTGTTTGCAAAATGGGTAGCTTTGCCGACTGGGCCGAATCTTGCATCCAAGCTGAAATTAAAAAATTACCTTTTGTTTCATCAACATATTTAAAATAAAATGATATAGATCCAATTTATATACTATTTAATAGAAGGAAATTGTTAATGAAAAATTATATACAGGGTGTGTCAGAAAGACATGTAAAAATGTGTAGGGTCCAAAGATGCTCCCCTACCGAGGGACAGGGTGATGAAATTTTATTTACGAAATTGAAAAAAAAAAGTATATCTACGGAGCGGATAAAGATACTGAGTTGAGATTTTAGACGTTCAGCGAGCATATCATAATCAATAAACACGCAGAGTTTTTGATCTCAAACTAAACCAGGAAAAAGGAAACTGGTGTACCTGGATCCCTAATAGTAAATATTTCTATGCTAGTGGCCTTTTCGGAGAAAAGGGATGCATTTTATAAAATACTATTCAATTTTTCATAAATTTCATTTCTTAACCAATTTTTTGTCAAATCACTCATTTTGGGTTTGGGTTTGAATATTTGAGGTAAAATCCCACAATATTCTTATGAAAAGGTTTAGCCTCCCCTGTTCTAAAAACACCATGGAGCCTGATACTGGAAATACTATATGGCATGTGAAGGAAGCTATGGCACCTGATTACAGCATTAATTGAATAATATGCCTGTGTTATTCTCAATCAGTAGCGCAGAGACTTGCCATTCATTAACCCTTTCCTGTGCACGCCACTAGTTTTGCCGGCATATTCATTTTTGTTTATAGGTAAAGGAACTTCGAAACAAAGAAAACGTTCATTTCAAGAATAAATAAAGCTAATAAGAACCAAGCAGGACAACAATAAACATTAGACTTGATACAGCTTACGTGGTTATTTCCGAATTTATGAAGACTAACATTAGGAACAAAAATAATGCTGAATAAATGTATCCAACCTCCAACGCAAGCCCTGCAAAGACTCTGACTCTTTGGAAAATACCTGGCGTAGTACGAACATTGTTGTATATACAGGGTGGCGCATCGAAAACGAAACAGACGCATTTACTGGCAGCTCAGTTTTTTTTTGGAAAAACGCTCAGACCCGTCGATTTTGTTTTCGAGGGGGACACAAGTTTGTCAAAAAATCACGTTAACACGTGCAGCCCCCTGGGCGGGGGTGACACCAAGCCTAAAATCTTAAACGGAAAGGCGGGTCGACTGATATCTTATTTTAAAGGTCTTTCAATTCCCTTTATAATGATGTAAAGTACATGAGCTTCAGTTCAGTAGTTTTGAAGATTTATTGATTTAAAGCTTAAAGTAGACTTTAATAGGTACATCAGATTAGTTTGTACTACTTTCAGAAGAAATTTGACTAAAAGAATTTACTTAATAAGTAAATGCTTTTCTTCACTACGCCCATGATTTGTTTATCATTTTGTTGTTGAAAATAGCTATTGGAGCGTTTTTTTTGTGGCAAAAAAGTTATTTCTTGAAGAAAGATAAGAAATTATCTCGTACTTATTTTAAATAGGAAGTTAGTACATAGTTTGCGATTGATTTGATCAAACTTTGTTGCTAAAATAACTTTTAACGCTTTATTACATAAATTAACCATGGTATATTCCACAGCAGAAATAGTTGAAATTACCGAAATATTTTTCGGAAATACTATAATTAGTGCGCTAATAGAACAGCAGAAGTATTTAATGAGCGTCATGAGAACAGTAACATGCATCGAAAATATGTTCTAGAACTCGTAGCTAAATTTCGGAAAACTGAGTCAGCGGCCAATAAAAAACGCAAGATTGAAAATCCCATAAGCAATACGAACGAAGCAATAGAAGTCGGTGCTTTAGGGCAAGTTTATGTAGATCCTACGTTAAGTACCTGCAAATTGGAGACTGTGTGTGGTGTTAGTCGACGTACTGTCCAACGGATTCTAAAGGCCCATAGTTTTCATCGGTATAAAATTCACCTGGTACAAGAACTTAATGACGGCGATTTTGATCGGCGATTACAATTTTGTGAAGATATGAGTGAACGAATTATAAACGATAAACATTTTCTATTCAAAACTTGCTTTTCCGACGAATGTTCCTTTTTCTTAAATGGCGTAGCAAATCGTCATAACTGCCGATATTGGTCCGATTCTAATCCAAGAACTTATCATGAGGTTCATACACAGCAGCCACAAAAATTAAATGTTTGGGCTGTTATTTTTGGCGATCACTTAGTTGTTCCTTTTTTCTTACCTGGAAATTTGACCGGTGAAATGTATTTGGAATTACTGGAAGACGCCATAGATCCTGCATTAACAGCCATAATTGAAAATGAGAATGACCGGCGGTATATTGCCTATAATAACAAAAAAAAATCCTATAAATGTGATTTTTTTTTGTTATTTTTGAATGTACTTTCCACCCAAGAAATATTTCACATATATATTGCTGTGTTCTTATTTTAATCGGCACAGATGTATGTTCTCCAATCCGTAACCCGACTATAACTTGGGAATTACCGCTCAGATTTGGATGAAATTTTCATACAAGGTTACTAGTACGCCATGGACGAAAAAGTTTTTGAAAATCGGTCCAGTGGTGACGGAAAAATATCAAAAATGAAAAAAAACGCTCCAACTACATTTTCAAGCGTGTCGTAGGATCCTGATCATTTTCGGAAAAATGTTTACATTGCTTGAAAATTAGATTTTTGGGGGCTGTAGAGTGCAGAGGACAGTATATGCAATTTTTTTGTTGCTAACAATTTATACGTTTCCAGCCCCGGTATTTCTACGCACCTATTAGATAGATATCACACATTCTAAGTTTTTCCGCACTTTGCGTTCAAAACTGGAATAATATAGATATATGTTTTCCATATACGCGTACACAAGTGAACTAGCGTATGTCTGTCTGCATCGAATGCTGAAAAATGAGTGAATCACTGAATGATGATGCGTGGATACTATCGATGTATGCTATGTTGCCACGTTGGTGGGTAGTCGGTACTGTCGGTAGGGCGGTAGGCTAGCTCGCAATGTTGTCAAATCTGTGTGGACTATGGACTAATTGTACATGTCTGTTTGACTGACATGATCCAATTAATCCTTTTTATTATATCTACATGTTTGTAGCCCATGTTTTTCCTATGCTTTGTTGTACCACCTAGCTAAGCAGGGTGTCTCAAAAAGACGTGCCAATGTTTCTAGGGTAGGAGTTACATCAAAAAATAACGGAAAAGTTCCCTATATAGGTCCAAAACAAACAAAATTAATGGAAAATTGAATGGTATTTTTTAAAATGCATTTATTTTCTCCGAAAATCCCAGGTTTCTACGTCCCTGGTTTAGTTTTGGAAAGGAAACTCAACATATTCATTGCTGATGATATGCTCACTGAACGACTATAATCCTAAGTCAGTATCTTCACCTGCTCCGCAGATATACAGGATGGCGCATTAAGCGTGGACGGAATATTACTCATAAACAAAATACATTTTAGGAAGATCTGTTCATGCCATGTTATACATTTGAGGGAACATTTTTAAAATATTGGCAATTATACAGGGTGTCCCAATTTTGACCTACATATCAAAGTTGTGATTTTTTTTAAATCAAATTTAATTGCATATTTGCATGAACCAATTCAAAAGAAGAAGATTGATATGACATACTATGGGGTTTTGGTAATTTGCTACTGAGATGAAAGGTGTTTTGTCCAGAAAAACCGTCCACTTCGGCAACCCCTCAATCCGCCATTTTGAAATTTGGAGTGCTGAATTTTGTGTAAAAAACTTACACACCTCAGCTTTTATCTTATTTGTTATTATTCGAATCTTCATTTTTGCTCACACAGGGTGGTCGAAAAATTTCAAATGCATATTTGTGCAAGTTTGTATTCAATATTTTATAAGCTTTTTTTGGTATGAGGTTTGATTCAGATAAAATCACTAGATTTTGAGCTATTAAGCTTTTAATAGAACAACAAACCAAAATTAAGGAAAACAGTCACATCATCCATGGAAACCAAAAGTGGGCTAGTTCCATATTGCCACTAAGAGTACAGATTTGACGTAGAAACTAATAACAATCGGAACAGTATAAATCAGCTTCAAGCGTAATAGAGAAAAACAACTATAACAACAGCATAAACAAAAAACTATCACTACTCAAGACCTAATCTACAAAAAGTGCTCGAAAATATCTCCACCGTATTGAATACACAGCCGTAGTCTGTGGATAAATGATCGTTGCACATCCCTCAGCATGTGTTCCACTATGTTGAGAAAAGCATCTTTAATCCTTTCCTTCATATTTTCCGGGGTAGATGGTGGATATTTATAAAACTTGCTTAACGATGCCCCATAGAAAGAAGTCCATCGGTGTCATATCTGGTGATCTAGGAGGCCAAGATATAGGCCCACCACGACCGATCCAACGATTGTTACTCCAGGTGTCGAAATATTTACGCACACGATTATGATATTGCGCAGGTACGCCATCATGTTGGAAGTACATATGCATCCCAGTTTGCAGGTTGACATCCTCCAAAAGCAAAGGCAAATGCTCGATCAAGAATTTCAAGTATTCTGTACCTCTTAATCTGTTGTCGAAAAAGAAAGGCCCGATAACTTGTCTGCCAATAAATACTTCCCAAACATTCAAGCTCCATTTATTTTGGAAATCCATTTGCCTAACCCAGTAAGGGTTTTCCGTCGCACAATAGTGAATGTTATGCCTGTTGACAACACCTATGCTGTTAAAAGTTGCCTCATCGCTAAAAAGAACCTTATCCGGGAGAGTAGTGTCTCCACTCACTTTATTTAGCATTATTCTACTAAACTCTATTCGAGCTGCGAAATCCTGAGGACGAAGGACTTGATGCAAGCATAGGTGATATGGATGGTACCTATGCTTGTGAATAATCCTTTGGACAGAAGTTCTGCATATATCAGTGTCTGCTCCAATTTGGCGTGCACTTAAATGGCGACCTTCCGGCAACTTAAATAGAACCTCCAACTGATTCGCCTCATTGGTGACACTTGGATTATTTATACCT